TGGTTACAGTGTATTCACCTTCGCCATCTGCAAATTAAAGAAAAGTTGGTTTTTGTTATTTAATTTTCCGTTTTTGCACATAACTTGTTTGCGGAGCTTAGTGCAAAAACAAAACAGCAAAAAAAATAAAATGTAAATTCGGTTCGTGTCTGTTTCGATATTTATTCATTGAAATGTGTTAACTTGCAAATTCTGTTGGCAGTTTTTGAATATTCGCCGTTTGTTTTCGGCTTGCAAATTTTTGCTTGTTTTGTTTACATCGTGCGCTTCGCTCTGTTTATTTGTTGTGCTCGTAGTTTTTGCCAAAAAGCCATAAACTGCTCTCTACTACGTCACACATACACATGTGCGATTGTTGATGCCGCCACACCTCCAAAACAACAAAAGCAACTCAAACTCACCACACTGCAAAACTCGCTTCTCTCGCTTGACGTCTCTCTCTTTTCACACACCCCTTTCCGCCCCTTTTATCCAGCCCCCTTTCCTAGTTTTTTTTTACTCTCGAAATCTGCTATTCTTTAGTGTTAAATCTATGTAAAGATTTGATTTTCACCTTCCTAAAAAAAAAAGGTTTTTAGGATTCCTCAAATATGTCTTTATTTGAATCTTAGTGTTGGAATCGAATTTTTATTAATTTTGTTCAGTTTTTTCTCTAACAGATTTCGTACGCCACATGTTTAATTTAAAAACAACAAAGAAAATATGTTTTTTAGGACTCCCGACTTGGATTATACGTATTTATTTTATTCGATCTTTACCGAATTCTGACCAAAATTATAATACCCCCGCCAAGGTATAAAAATAAACAAACATGAGAGGCAATTAGAAATCGGACTGCATATATTGGCACATTGTACAACCATCCGTATCGAGTGTATGTTTCGAGTCTCGCCGGGATCAGTGGAACTGAGGTTCATCAGACCCGCATAACTCACTCGCCACCCACCGATGTTCAAATTCGCATCCAGCAACCTCGGCAAAAATCATTTCTGCCTCAATGCAAACGCTCGGTAAATTGCATCTGCGGCATTTTTAATTACCAACATACAAACGCTCGTACAGTTGTAATTTATATCGGCGTATTGCCACGCATAGACATACTATATACACACACGATTCTGTTGGCGCCAGGAAAGCGTTTTTCCCATCTCGACAAGGTTTCTCTATATGTTTTGGGGGCTAGTGCCAGACTTTCGTGAGGCTAGACCCATGGAGGCCAAACAGACTGAGTAATAACGTCTATCCTCCGACTAATCGGTGATTCATCAATCAAAATATTGATGCCGCAGAACTGATCGATTTTGGGGTCTAAGATAAACATGTTTATAAAGTGGGTCTTTAAAAATCTATAATTTTAGTATTATAAACTAAATATTTTTAAAGTGGTTTCTCAATAGTAGACATATATACACATTTTTTACTGAAGAAGAATTAAATCTATAATCATCGTAAATTTTTCTATATATCGAACTTAATACCCTTTATCTTACAAGTGCACTTTTATATATATAGATAACACCATCCTTCATCGCATTTGGGGTCTTGTATTTGTGCTCACATGCTTGTTTACCATTCCGATCGTTTTGTAGATGCAAATGGATTGTTGTCATCGTCAAAACTTTTTGGCAACATGCCTATGAAAAATAAAATAAAATTATTTCATTTAAATTCGTGGCATTTTTGATTGACAGAAGTGCATGCAATTTCCTACTCAATATCACATCGGCGAATATATATATTTTCAATCCCATATTGATGTGTTATTCGTTCCTTTCCTTTTGTTTATATTGCCGTGGTTCTGTTTTCATGTTGATTAAGTGGCAATCGAGAATATTTAAGGGCATTATCTGCTCGAATTATATTTCGTTTTCTCGCAAGCTTCCTGTTTCTATAATAAGATCATGTGCAAATGAGCCATATATGTATATGGGATATACTGGCGGTTTATTGTTGTGAGTGCACCTTCTTGAAATTGGAGGAAAGTGCATTCGATTATTTTAATTAAAGCTCATAACACTGAACTTGAGTGGTCTTATCGGGATCTAAAATTGTGGAACCCACACTAATACCGTCTAGAAATAAAGGTGGCGCTCTAGCTGATATTATTTTACGACTTCAATCGAATTAGTCCCAATATCAGTTTGTGTACGAGTACAATATACTACTCATGCAGATATAGAATAAAGCTCGTGATCTTAGTCAGTTAGTCGGGTTAGTCACCAGTCGATGCGACTGGTGAAATAATGCTTATAGCTTGGGAAAACGATCCGTAACGCCCGTTATCTATCTGGTGCTAAGATCCTAAAAGAAACGGAAAGTTCTCTCTGGGTGAGTAAGAAATCGGGGGTACGTGCATCTGTATATTTGCACTCCTAATCCCCCTAGCATTATCAGTTGGCCTAAATCGCACATTCATGCAAAAGTCTATATAAGTCTATAGTTTAAGTTGGTTGAATATTTTTACAATACATTATATATACTCCAACCTGATTAGCGGGGGAGGGGTCGTAAAACACATGACCACAGAGACGTTAGTTTAATCAACGACCTTGAGATAGTGATTGGGAAGTGAGATAAAAGACAATTCAACGACTTCGTCCGGAAATAAGGACTTTTAGATAGTGGAATTCGCAAAATAGAAGTGCAGCTGTTCGGCTATTGTAAACTAAATAATAACCTTGTACTTGTAGAGTAAGGTCTAAAACAAGAGACCTTTAAACAAAGTATAAAACCGGTAACGATTTTCAACCCCATTAGCGTAAATTTAAACCAATACTACCATGTTTATTGTATTTTATCGGTTGTAGAGTTCCATTTATCAATACTGCCAGTGATGGAAAATCTATGAACAATTATTATCATGGTGGTAGCTTTCTTAGTTACTACTGTAAAAGAAATAAACACTCTGTAAATGACACTAAGATATTATGATAGTGTACAGCAATACCATTCCTTTATATAACTTAAGGTACAGGAGAATATGATATCTACAAGTGCTATTTTCTTCGCTTATATTTCATATTAGCGTATGAGCACTGTACCGGTTATTCCCCTCATTATGATATTGCGATTGTGATTATTTTATGGTGATTTATATCCGTGCAATATTCATTGAAGAAATTTGCTTATATTGCCAAATGAGCGATAAGCGTCCATCTATGTAGATATATGTATAAACAAGTGTACATATATATTGCAGTGACTATCGTAAACGCCCACGTGACGTCATCTGCTGAGATAATGGAACCGATGCACGATTGCGATATGTTACCATTACCTTCCCTCCGGATCTCTCTTCTATAACCCATCCGCCAGCATCATAAATATTGCGCACACACAAACCAACGACTATATACGTATGCCCATATGTGTATCATGTGCATGCAGATAAGCTGCATAATAAACCGCATTACGAGTGGGTTGCAAATCGTGGAAATGTGGGTGGTGGGTGGTGTTGGGCTGAGCAGGCGAGCAATTCGAAAGTTCTTCTAATGCGCAGTTTGCTTGCCATTCGATTTTGGATTGGATTGTAATCGGCATTGAGCTGAATATTGGATAAGGTCGCCCGAAAGCAGTGAAATATCTACTGATTACTAAATTATATACACTATTTCACTGATTCTAAATTGTTTTTTTTTATATCATATAAAATTTTTTTTATTTCTACTGCTTCAAAGTTTTTGCCTCTGAGTCATGTCTTAACTGAAGTTGATTTATTTGAAGGGATGAAAACCCTTCATGGTTCTTTTTTTTGTTTTGGTTTTTTTTTTTCACTACACCATTTCGCACTTCGTTCATTTCTGCAAAAAGAAAAAATATTATTTGAAAGCGTCAACATTTTCAAACTAGTAGTAGGAATGGATTATCTTGGAATATTGTCCTTAAAAACAGTATAAGTATTATTACTAAAGTAAATATTAACTTAAACAAAATAAACGAGACAAGAATCGAGTTCGTACTCAAATGTTGGTTTAATATCATAGTTAAGGGGAGCCCCTCAAAAATATCAGATGAAATCCCTTGGGCTCCGATTTGAAACCGATTTGCTTGGGTTCATTATAATATTTATTTAAAAGTGCCTACGTGTGTGTTGGCACGTCCGCCGCAAACTCACCTCATTCCATCTCACCCCCCACCAAAACCGTAACCCCAACCCCGTGGGACAAGGGAATCCACCACGAGCCGACTCGAACACGAAGTTTATAAACCCGATTGGTCTCGTTGGCTCTCTTCTCTTCTCGATTATCCTTTTGTTGTGGTGAGCTGAGTGCTCTCTCAGTCGTCCTGGTTTCACCTTCACCTCCAGCTAACATGTGGAGGCAGGAGTCGCCCAACGAAATTTCGAGAAAATCTCGTAGAATCTCGGGTCTTTCGATATCCCCATTACTTGTAAAGTTCGAGGGGATATTGTTTCCTTAACCACTTTGCTTATTCTATAATTGTGTATTTCAATTATAAAAAAAAGTTACAAGGATATATGCATATGTATGCTATGGAATACTTGTTTTTCGTTCTGTTGATTGAATATATATTTTTTATACTTTCAAACCTATTAAGTTAAAACGCATCTTTTGAAGATGCACTTTATACACAATAGTTTAGAACTGAATCAAAAATAAATTGGGTTTTTTTGTTTTGTTTTCTTTTTGGTGTAAAGGATATCTTCTAGACGAAATGATTAACATTTTTAGGGCGCCTGGCCAGAGAGACGCCTTGACCCACTGAAGGGTCATCGACTGCAGAGCAAAGCTCGACGGGATGTGGGTCACATTTGTAACCGTTAGCCGCGCTATCTGACCCCCACTGTTCCATTAAAATAGCCCCCTACAGAGAAGAAATAATAATAACCTTAGCTTTTAGTAAGATTGCATTAAATAAGAAATACAAACAAAATTACATAAAAAAACATCCCCTGCTTAATTCAAAATTTTAAAGACTAACTAACACTAACACTAACACTGAATTCTAAACACTGACTAAACATTTTACTTTCCTTTTAGATTGTGGCCCGGCGACATGACCTGAAGCTGATCGTGACCTCCGCCACTATGGACTCGAGCAAGTTCGCGACCTTCTTTGGGAATGTGCCCACGTTCACCATACCCGGAAGGACCTTTCCCGTGGACGTGATGTTTAGCAAGAACACCTGCGAGGACTATGTGGAATCGGCGGTGAAGCAGGCGCTGCAGGTGCACCTCACGCCCAACGAGGGCGACATGCTCATCTTCATGCCCGGTCAGGAGGACATCGAGGTGACGTGCGAGGTGCTGGAGGAGCGTCTGGCGGAGATCGACAATGCGCCGTTGCTGAGCATCCTGCCCATTTACTCGCAGCTGCCGTCTGATCTGCAGGCCAAGATCTTCCAGAAGTCCGGCGACGGAGTGCGCAAGTGCGTGGTGGCCACCAATATAGCGGAGACCTCGCTTACAGTCGACGGCATCATCTACGTCATCGACTCCGGCTACTGCAAGCTGAAGGTCTACAATCCGCGCATCGGCATGGACGCCCTGCAGATCTATCCCATTTCGCAGGCCAATGCCAACCAGCGGAGTGGTCGAGCCGGACGTACAGGACCCGGTCAGGCCTTCCGGCTCTACACTCAGCGCCAGTACAAGGACGAACTGCTGGCCCTCACCGTTCCAGAGATTCAGCGCACCAATCTGGCCAACACGGTGCTGCTTCTCAAGTCACTGGGCGTCGTCGACCTGCTGCAGTTCCACTTTATGGACCCGCCGCCCCAGGACAACATCCTCAACTCGCTGTACCAGCTGTGGATCCTCGGAGCCCTCGACCACACGGGCGCCCTCACCACACTGGGCCGCCAGATGGCCGAGTTCCCGCTGGACCCGCCCCAGTGCCAGATGCTCATCGTCGCCTGTCGCATTCAGTGCAGCGCCGAGGTCCTGATTATAGGTAAATACTTTTCTTATTTAATTTATGTCCTATTTTGATTTTAGTTTACTTTTATATAAATTGGTAACCTATAGTTAAAACTAAGTTCTAACATATATGGATGGAGCTTTAAGTAGGGACCTACGTCAGTTTTAAATCTATTTAGATGTCATATTTGTAAATTAAACATCTAACATCTAAAACATCATTACATTAAAACTCAAAAATAGTAGCCCATTTAATAAAGTGTAATTTAATTTTAAATGGGACATTTTGTATATTACTTTAAAACCACTCACCAAATATAAAACATAACTTGCTGCACCTCCAACAAAAGTCACTGATCATGAATCTGTTTTTTTTTCTTATACCCCACAGTTTCCATGTTGTCCGTGCCCTCGATCTTCTACCGACCTAAGGGCCGCGAGGAGGAGGCGGATGGGGTGCGCGAGAAGTTCCAAGTGCCTGAGTCCGACCACCTGACCTACCTCAATGTGTACCAGCAGTGGCGCCAGAACAAGTAAGTCAGCGCAGTACATCCAATCCCGGCCAGAAATCACTAATAATCTTCACTTACAGCTACAGCTCGTCGTGGTGCAACGAGCACTTCATCCACATCAAGGCGATGCGCAAGGTGCGCGAGGTGCGGCAGCAGCTGAAGGACATCATGACGCAGCAGAATCTGAGCGTGAAGAGCTGCGGCACCGACTGGGACATTGTGCGCAAGTGCATCTGCTCGGCGTACTTCTACCAGGCCGCAAGGCTCAAGGGCATCGGCGAGTACGTGAATTTGCGTACGGGCATGCCCTGCCACCTGCATCCCACGTCCGCGCTGTACGGCCTGGGCACCACGCCCGATTATGTCGTCTACCACGAGCTGATCATGACCGCCAAGGAGTACATGCAGTGCGCCACCGCCGTCGACGGCTACTGGCTGGCGGAGCTGGGTCCCATGTTCTTCTCCGTCAAGGAGTCCGGGCGCAGCGGACGGGAGAAAAAGAAACAGGCGGCCGAGCATCTCAAGGAGATGGAGGAGCAGATGCTTAAAGCCCAGCACGAGATGGAGGAGCGCAAGCAGCAGGCGGCCGATCGGGAGGAGCAGCTGGCCGCCAAGCAGGAGATCGCCACCCCGGGCAATGCCACGCCCCGTCGCACGCCGGCCAGGATCGGCCTCTGAGATTTGTATCTGTGTGTTCGTTTATTCGTTCTGTTCATATATAAGTTCAACGATTTTTTTTTTGCTATACACACCCTAATAAAGAATCATTATAAACTGAAGACAGAAGAGAAAGAAACTCAATTGGCTCCGCACAGCTCCACTCTCTACACGGATGCACTTGTTGTCCTCCAGTCGGTGGCTCTCACTGCAGGAGCACTCGCCCCAATTGCAGAACATGGGTGCCGGTGCTGTGGCATTGGCCTCCTTCAGGAGGGACTTCATCCGGCACTGGCCATCGTGGAGGCAGAGTGCTCCGAAAGGCACGATGGGTTCGCAGACGATCCGTTCCCGTTGGTCCTCCTCCGCCGTATCCTCCTTGGCCTCCTCGTTGGCTACCCTTTTGGGGTAGTGAGAAGGGCGACAGCCGCAAATGTGATCCTGGCACTGGCCTCCTGCTCCCAGCTTCACCTTGCACTGTGCACTATGCTCGCAGCTGCCACCATATCCGGAACCCGTCACGCACTTGGTCATGTTGTGGTTGTGCACATAGCTGGCGGCACAACCGCAGTTCTTCACTTTGGTCAGGCAAAGGGAGGCTCCGCAGCTCCCACAATCCTTGTCCTCGCTGCATCTTGATTCTGCCAAGATAGAGATATCGAGATAAATTAAGTTTCCGTGAAATCAATACACTTGTACGATTTCTCCCAGTGTACTCACGTAGCACGGCAAGGCAACGTCCCTCGTGGAGCTCGAACTGGTCATTGCAGAGGCACTGACCGCCGGAGCACGAGCTGAACCTGTCCGCCAGTTGGCATTGTCCCTGGAACTCGCATCTTCCGCCCGGAGCGATAGCCTCCTTCAGACAGCGCCGGCGGTCGCCGCTGGGCACATGGCCCGCGGAGCAGAGGCACTGCTCCCACCGGTGATGGCAGTTGGCATCCGGCATCGGGCAGGGACAGGAGCCGCCAATGATGTTGGTCAGTTTCTCCTCCACCGGCGAGCAGGCCACCCGCTCGTTGGAGCCACGTGCCGTGCAGATGCAGGCCATGTCCAGGCAGCGGCCACGCTCGAATTGCGCGCACTGTGCGTCCGAGCTGCAGGACAGCTCCAGCAGATCCTGCGCCCGGACAGCTTCTGGAAGTCTAGCCAGCAGCAGAAGGATCCAGCCATGCATCAGTTGCATTTTTCAATTCGGTTTAATACGGTTAGTTCACGTTGACCGACTGCAAAACCGTTACTTACGATCCGGCATAAGCTCGGGTTGAAAATATCAATCGATTGGTGGTTTGAAAGTTCGTTTTAAACGGGTGTTACGGGTGATATTTATATCCATTGCAGGAGTATAATAATAATAGTCAAGTCTTTTAAACATATTCATATTTTCCAAAACTGAAAGTCGCGTTCCAAGCTTTGTCCTTTTTTCGTTCTTCAACGTATCAATGCACAGAAAAGTGTTTGTTGGATATATAAATCAACATTTATATAAAATGGTACTGTGAAATAACTACAAAAATTATTTCTTTTAAGTAGCTTTTGTACATGTATTTAATTGCTTCCTATTGTTGGTTGGACCATATTAAATTTTGATTTTATATATAAATTTTTTTATTTGTGGGCTTCATGGTAGAATTTTAGCTTAGCTTACTATTTTGAATAAATACAAGTGTGCAGTATTTGAAGTGCGAGAGTCATGAGTCAATAAACTAAATAATTGTGAAAAAATATTTTTTAAAAAAATCATAAGAAGTCGATACTATCGACTACTTTTAATTTACCGTTAAAAGTTCAGTTGGCACATCGATGACCACTGGCTATAACAGTCTGGCAACGTCGCCGAGAGCAAATACTGTGGCAGCACTAGAAATTTACACTCAAGCGTCGCATTAGTAGTTCTGAACCCAAATCGGGGGTATATATCTCCCATATCATACCTATCCGATTGCAAGTGCGTGGCGCGAGAGCACAGGAATTAGCCCGTGCATCCGGGAAGAGGGCTCACCAGGTCTAAACAGCTGATCAAGGTACTGCGTTGTTGTGATTCCCGATTCGATTCCTCGGTTGTGCAAATTCCGAGTCCAAAACAAAAGCGGAGCGCAGATCGAGATAAGGAGTATTACAAGGCCCAAAGTAATCGCAGTAATATCGGTAGTACCCGCATTATTCCCCGCATAGAAACAAAGGAACCCCACACACACTCACGTACGGGTGCAAGCGAGACGGGGCGAGACCAGTAGAGCGAGAGAGGAAGAGGGAGCGGGAGGAGCACAATGGGACGCATATTTCTGGAACACCTCGGCGGACTGAAGCTCTTCAATTGCGCCCAGTGCCACACAAACCTGACCAACCGCAGCCAGCTGATCAGCACACGATTTACGGGCGCAACAGGTGAGTCCTCTGGTCTGGATAATTGCCCCTGATTATGCAATGTTAATCGTATGTTCTCCTGGCAGGACGCGCCTATCTGTTCAAACGCGTCGTAAACCTGACCTTCAGCAACATCCAGGAACGGGTCATGCTCACAGGCCGCCACATGGTACGCGATGTCATGTGCAAGAACTGCGGCGCCAAACTTGGTTGGATGTACGAGTTCGCCACCGAGGAGTCTCAAAAGTGGGTATATAGCTTGGATTATCTTCGCAGATCAGTAATAGGGATATTTAAGTAGCTTTTTACCGAGATTACCGTTCCATCTCCATCAGCTTAAGATATATTTGTAGATCAAAGGTTTCAGTGCTTCAGGCTTCTGATAAGGATATACAACTCATTGTCCCGATTCATATTGGATAGTTTTCCTTCTGGGAACTACTCTTTTGTTATTAAGAATCTCCATTGCAAAATTACAAATTTTGTCGAGAACTGTATGACATATACCATCTTTACCTAATGAAGATAAATATGCTCATTGGAATTCAAGGAGTGTAAAATTTGCCTGTTACTTATTGAAAGCGAGATATGATTACTTAGCCAATTCGAATAATTAATTTTTTGACCAATTGGTAGGATCTAATAGTTACATTAAATGAATGCTAAGAAAATGTGTTACAATGGTTTATATGGCATTGGTATTAATTTAAACAATCACTACTGAGAGAATAAGCTTAAGAACTAAGACATTTGGCAACCAACTACTTTCAGGCAGGACTAACGAGCGTCCCAGCTGAAAGATCTTACTAATTCAATATCTCTTTTTATCCGTTAGGTACAAGGAGGGTCGTGTGATCCTGGAGTACGCGCTCATCACCGAGGCGGAGGGCTTTCCGTCGGAGGCCCCCACCACGAGTCATTGAACGGAGAAGCTCTGAGCCGGAAAACGAGAACCACGCATTGGCGAACCGTGTGTAGCCCTAAGTATTGAGTAGAAAGCCACAGGCGATGGCTTCTATGCATTAGACCTAGTTTAGAGATCGCCGTAGAGAGCAGCTCCCAAGTCCGGAGAACCGGTTGCACATCATCCGGCACGGAGGACTCGCCTACGGCCCTGGTCTTAACGTGACTTAAACTTAATTGTAGGCACATCTAGCACGTAAGCAGCTGCGGCGCCCGATTCTACCATTAACTACTACTGTCATGAGGCTGAAGTGCTAAAAGAAAGAGATAGGTCCTGTTACCAGTTCCGCAGAACCGCAACTGATCCACACTTGTGTCTTTTCAAACAAGATCTCTAGACCGTAATCAATCACCAATCAATCAATCAGCAATAAAGTAACACAATAATCTTTACTCAGCTATTTTGACAAATGCAGGAAAAATGCATCATCTCAGTTGTCTAAACTAGTTAAGATTGTTATTAACACCTAAAGTTTGCCAGTCTTTTGGGCCATGGCCAGGGCATTCTCGTTGGCGATCATTTGGAACTCCTGGAAGCGCTGTGAGACGCGCTGGTTCATCTTCAGGTACTTCTCCATGCAGTTCAGCGAGCATTTCTCCTGTAAAAAAGATGGGCGATTGGATATACTTGTGAATCCACATGGAATATTGCAAAACCCACCTCGGAATCCTTGACATCTCGCGATGTAAAGTCGCGCACGCAGTCTGTGAAGCACATCTCGGACAGCTTGTTGTAGGACATGAGGAAGTCGGAGAACTGGACAACGAAACCCAAACAATAGATGAAAACCACATTGCATCATGAGCACAGTGACCACCGGCTTTTGTGTGGAACTTCCACGGCCATCCCACTCACCGTTTTCATTTGGTCCTTGTCCAGCTGATCCAGCGCTATGTTTTCCGGGCTTTTGGCCATCTTGTGCTACGATATTTTATTCAAGTTTGTCCAAACGAAAGGGGCCAATAATAATGTGCCTATATTAAATAATAGGGACAGCTGGTAGAGCTGGAAAGTCGATTCATCGATGTTTTCCATCTTATTTATTCATCGATAAATTGCCCGTTGGATGTAATCGTAATGTAATAACAATATGTGATGTATGTAATGTAATAACAATATCAGGCGATTTTAACTATTTCTTAAACGTAATCTCTAAATTCTAAATATCAGTTTATTTTTAATATTTCGGGAATGTAACGAACAATTGCCTAGGCAAATTTTATTTACTTTTGAGAAGGGTGACCATCTGGAAAAATATTTATATTTTTCGAATGTAAATAGCGTATGTTTTTCAGATATACTAATTTATTTAGTTTATTTAATTACTAATCAACACATTATTATGAAAACTAATTATAATTTTTTGAACTTAGTTCAAATTATGGATGGACAAATAAATGGCTGAAAAAATCATAAACCTGAGTGTCAGTAATTTGATGAGGTTAAACCGAAAAATAATAAGTACTTTAAAATGAATTGAAAGTCATGGAAAAATAATATATAACTAATTTAATTATTCCTAGCAAGGAAACAACGGCCAAAAATTAAAGACAAACATATATTTTTAAAAATCCGATAGGCAGCGCATTCGCGAGTACGTTTTCGGAGTTTTTTTCGCTACTGCCGGACGGTCCTGCTAAATCGCTCACTTTTCAACACTACCCATCGCGCCATCTTTTTTTCTCCACAAAACATATTTTCTCGTCCTGCTTTTTGGGTGTGTTCGCTGCGCAAAAGGCCAGGAAAATTAAGGAAAAACCAAGTGGCTTGCCAAACCAAAACCGAGAAGGAACCCCACTGATAGCCAGCGGGAGAAAGGAACCCAGAGCACACACAGATACCGACCCACAATAATGCCACGCTACCGGGAATGGGACTTGGCCTGCAAGGTGTACGTAGGCAACCTGGGAAGCTCCGCCTCCAAGTACGAGATCGAGAACGCATTCAGCAAATACGGACCCTTGCGCAACGTCTGGGTGGCACGTAATCCGCCCGGTTTCGCCTTCGTGGAGTTCGAGGATCGCCGCGATGCGGAGGACGCAACCCGCGGCCTGGACGGTACCCGCTGCTGTGGCACCCGCATCCGCGTCGAGATGTCCTCCGGCCGTTCGCGAGAGGGTCGCGGCGGGGGCGGCGGCGGAGGCGGTGGCGGAGGAGGCGGGGGCGGATCCGGCGGCGGTGGCCGCGGCGGAGGCAGTGGCGCACGGGCTGGAGGAGGCGGTACAAGAGCTGGCGATGGCGGCGGCCGTTATAGGTGAGTAGATCATCCCCCATTCGATTATGAAACATCATAATTTTGCCAATATGTGCAGAAAGAAAAACATATACACATATATTTGATCTGTGTCGTGTGTGCGTGTATGTATGCATGTGAAAAATCGATTCGCGTATACATACGAAAGCGGGGCCAGCCAAATTACACACACACACACACGCAAACACATACGTCTACCTTAGCAGTGGGACACCACTGTAAGCCACCGCACAGTGGCGTCCGTTGAAAACAGTCCCACACACAGTCACACACACACACAGTGGCGTCCTGGTTGTTGCTATCCAATCGATTTTCTTAGTTTTTTTTAGGGTAATTTCAATATAAAGTACCCCATTTCATTGCTCATTACGCACCCCCGAGGTTCATAGTTTAAAGTTCAAAGAGTATAGCTTTTACCTAGAGGAAACGTTTTGTTTGTTGTTTTTTAGTAAAAAAAAAAAATAAAAATTTATTACAAAAAAAAAACATAGTAAAACCAAAGTAAATCGTTTGACTTAGAGCCAATTTTAATGTGGTCTCACAATCATTTTGCAGGATAAAGTCTTCTTCTTCTACTACAACAAGCACAACAAGAACTACTACAACAACAACATCAATAATAATAATGATAATAATTAAAAGAACAACAAAAAAAGAACAACAACAGCTACTACTACTAGAACTTCTACTACTCCTCTTCCTTCAACAACAACAACAACAAGAACAACAACAGCTACTACAAGAACAACTAGTACAACAGCAGATCCTGCTCCTCCTATTACACACATTTCACCAACAACAACAGCCACCTCACCACCACCATGCAATTTGTTGTGCGGCCCTTGTCAGAACTTCAACAAATTCAATATATATATTCCGCTGACCAAGAACCAGAACAAAAAACCGAATGACCGCAACACTACACCCCCTCCACCACCTGTTCAGCTCGACCCAGGCCAAAAACGAATCATCAGCGACGTCTTCGGCTCCGCAGCTACAAGAATAATGCACCCAAAACCAGTCCAAACTCACTCACAGCCACCTACATACATATATCCCACTATTGGGCAAATGACCACTATTTGTGTTGGTTATTAATAACTTGAAACCATTGCCAAATTTAATGTTTTTTATTATACGTTGTAATACTTTGCTCAGTATCTTTCGAAACCAAATACTTAGAAGTATATTTAGTACAGTCATAGTTAAGAAAGGAAAGCACGATTTTAAGAAGATTTATATTCACTTATAAAATGGATTGCTTCCTGTTATAGCTTCAGTCGTAACTAAAAATCAAAATTTTGTAAGCCTTATTTTTGTTTTTAAAACTTAAATTAAGAGAAAGTGCACAATAGTGCTTTGTGATATAGAAGTCTGACTTTTAAACAACGATGAAATACTCTGCAAGTATTTCGGTTAAATAACGTAATTTCAACTAATCTTAAAAACAGCGGTCTTAGGTCCCAAAGTGCATCCCAAATTCTCACATCATGTACGGTCTGTTAGTTGACCCCATCTTCAAGCTACACAACGAACACACATACACACTCTACCATTAACCACACTAATCACCAAGAAACCACAGCGAACCGGGCATCGACGACAACAGAGCAACTCCATCAAGAATCTAACTCCAATATGTATCTATGCATATATATATACACACTCACCAGTCCAGCAACGCTTCAAAAAGTCAACTTCCTACGCCTCCAAGTTCTGCTGCGGTTGTCTTCAGCCTGCTTCCTTCGTCCCCAACAAACCACCCACCACCTCATCATCCGTCATCTTTAGTGCAGCTACAGCAGCATCAGCAACAAGCTACAGCTACAAAGACCAACTGCAACAACAGCTTCTACTTCTTCTACTACTACTACTACAACATCTGGCAGCCAGTCAGCAAAAGTGTCTCAAGGGCGCCCAGCCTTTGGTAGATCTTTTGTTGACCCCACCACCCAGTAGTTGCACCTTTCCCTTGCAATCCAACAAGATTGAGGCTGCTTCACGCTAATTCCTTCAATCGCAGCAAGTATGAAACCTTTGGCCGCCACCAACACCACTTCCCTTTGAACCGAACCGAAACGAAACGAAAACGTAACGTCTCTAACAAAATCCGTTTGTTATATTTCTATTTATGGTTTCTGCTAATGTTTTTTTTTTTATCTTTCGTTCTTGTATCCTAACATCTACTGAGATAATGTTGTTCGCGCTAACTGTCTGCTCTCTATGTATATATATATATTGTGTAAATGTGTTTATGCATTGACCCGATCATCTCGAATCAGAAATCAAAGTCAGATCAGACGGTTCACCAACCAACCAACCAACCAAACGACCCCACCAATCGACCAACCAAGCACCAGCAGCATCAGCGGGGCAGGGTCTTCTTCAAGCTCGTGTCTCCACATCGCGGATGGTAGGAGCAGCGGCACCGCCACCACCACCACCACCACTAAACCACAACCACCACCTGAACCTCTTTTGCTGATAACTGATGCTTCCCCACCAACTGCTTCTTCATACGACCTACGTTCTTCGGCTGCTGCAACAGAATAGAATGATTCACCAATATATATATATATATATATCCACCAACAACACACACCAAAAAACACCACACAGCCACCTTAGTCACAGTCAATCAGCTCAGAATCGTATCGTATCAACAGCCCAAACTACAAACTACAACAATTCAACAACAAGAACCTACTACTACTACTACAATTCAACAACAACAACAGTCTTCTCAGTCTGCTCTGCTCATCAACCAACTAAGCAACCTACCAAGAAACCAATCAGCCAACCAATCCAACCAACCACCACCAATTACTTTATGTAAATGTCACACCAACGCTTTCGTAAATGGGGCCAAAAAAAAAAAACCAAAAAAATATATCAGCTATATCTCCACCACCTTCAAGCACCTTCAGCCACCAAAAAAAAAAATACAGCCAGCTCTCAGCTCCGCTCAGCTCAAATTAAAGCTCCAATATCAGCTCTCCGATCCGTATCCGATCCACCAGATCCGTCAGCCCAAGTTGTGTGTTGTTTGATCGAGACCACTCTGTCAACTTTACGTAATTTAAGGAATTGTTTTCTTACTACACGCCTAGTTAAGTTACTAGTTAGTGCAAAAACTATTTAATTTGTATTTTCTCTCTCTCTCTCTCTCTCTCTCTCTTTCTTCCTCTCCTCTCTCTTTCTAAACCCTGTCTATGTGTCGTGCCAATCTGTTTCCCCAAACGCGCCACCCATTTCATTACAGATCCCGCTCACCACGCCGCTCCAGGACACGCAGTCGCAGCTTCTCGCGGGATCGTCGCAGCCGCTCCGACTCGAGGGATCGCCATTAGATGAGCACTAGGAGAGGAGAGCAGCCCCGATCCGGACGACACCTTATTATATATATATATAGAGATGTATAACACAGCCACACAGTTTTGGGGCCAAATGTGTCTGTTTTGCCCCCAAGAAAAGAGCGCCACAGATTCCTTAGTTTGACTCAAATATTTCCTCCCATACAAAACATATATCCCGACCCCACCCCCTCCTTCACCCTAAAGAACTCGAGCGAGCAACTCCACAAAAGACCACCACACAACCCAGCCATCTCCGATCTGGATCTGGATCGCAAGTATAGCCACAGTACAATTACGGTACATATTGGTATTTAGGCTTTAAGACTTTGGTAGATTTTAATTCAGAAAAAATGAAAATTAAGTAATGCAGCAACCAACAACTACAACACACAAAGAGTGAGGCATCAGAAGAAAGAAACAACAAAGCATGTTCGAAGGTAATCGCGATTATATAACACATTATCCGTTTGTTTCTTCTCTGAATCTGTCGCAACACAAAATGTTTAAGAGAAAAGTGGATGGAAAGAAAACGTAAGAAGTTTCTATATACGAAAGTGCAAGTAATTAAGTCGTGAAATGAGAATCAATAAATTGAACATAATTTAAAAACAATTTTTAAATGGTTTTATATATTTCTGAGGGGTTAGAAAATGTTTTAATGAAGTTATATCAGCTTTTACTTAAGTGGTGATTTTAAAATTGGTTACTGTCAGTAGCTATGCAAAACAGTCTGTGTCTGTGGCATTCACAGATTTTTTTGTACAATTTTTGAGAAAAATTGATGAAAACACTTTGAAAAATGTGAAATGTGAAAAATTGGAATATGGATCATTTTTCACTTAAAAATTTCAGTATTTTTACGATAGCAATGCTAATAATTGTCCGATTATGGAATGCCATACCTTGTTGAACTCGTAGCAACATTTTCAATCGAGTGGCATTCACAACTTTTTTTGTAAAATTTTTGAGAAAAATTATGATGAAAACCCTTTGAAAAATGTGAAATGTAAAAAAAATCGATTCATTATGATTTTTCGCTTAAAAATATCAGTATTTTAATAATGGTCCCATAAATGAATGCCATAAAATATTAATGCTAATCATAATAATACCACTGCAAGGATTTAAAAAGTTTTTCGATTTCCCAAGTTAAGATTTCAAGCCTTGTTTAACAATAGATTTGATTTATTTTCATATTTAGTTTTTTGTCTATAACAATTAGTAATGACTTGAACGCACACACATCAAATGTTTTCGTGATCGACTCGGGATAAGCACATGCAAGGCTATATATGTATATATGTAGATAAATATGTATACGTGTACACAAAGCAAATAACTTTTGTCTAGAACAATATCAGAATTATCAATTTTGCGCCAACCTATGGCTCTAACAAAAATTATTGTCACTTCTCCGCCAGGAGAATCAATTCAATAAGGATCAATATATGGTTTAACAAGTGGGTTAATTGCTAATTGGAAACGTGATATATCATAGATATAAAAGCTGCGCAGGATAGGGATACAAATCAAAGGGACTTAAACGTTTTACACAAATTATATATATTTATATATTATTCATATATAAAGCAGAGTAAAGAAGCATTCAGATATGACACAGTAACAAAGAGAAAAAAAAACAAATATGGTATTTTATATTTTAATCCTAAGCCGGAGGATCGACACTTTTAACACAGGGACTGGGGCGGGGGACGGGTGGGCGCGGCGCAGGGAGTGGTCTACTTGTACTTCTTCATGAAATCGGCGTGGAACACACGGAACTTCTCCATCATCAGCTTCAGCTTGTCCGTCTGCGGGAGGATCGTGCTGCGGAAATGCCAGGTGCCGGGCTTCTGGCCAAATCCGCTGCCAGGAACGATGCAAATGCCTGCAGAGGAGAAGCCCAAGGATTAGCCATCGGAGTGAAAAGAAATATGTAGAATTAAACTCACCACTCGTCTCGAGCAGCTCAAATGCGTAGAAAACGTCGGGGGCCATGCCTTTGGCCTTGGCAGCCTCAACAGCCTTGGGCGGGATCTCGATCTGGGGAAAGACGTACATGGCGCCCTGCACGGGATTCACCTTATAGCCCTCGAAGCTGCTGAGCGTCTTGTGAACGAGCTCGGCGCGCTCTTTCAGGGCGGCCAGGATGCCGTCACGCTCCTTCTTGAACAGCTCGTAGGAGGGCTCGCCGGGCTGGGGGGGGATTGACCAGGGCACTGACCGCCACCTGGCCGGCGGTGGTGCTGCAGAGCGCCGCCGTTATCGACTTGGTCAGCATGGCCTTGACCTTGGGGTCCAGATTGAGCACCTCCATGTAGCCACCGCGAATGCCGCACTCGCCGAGATAGCCCTTCGACGTGGACAGGAAGCTGCAGAGCTCGAGGCTGCGGTAGGGCTCGCCCATCTCGTAGGCCACCTTCTTGAACGACCAGAACTTGGAGTCCTTGTCGTAGACGTTGTCCTGGTACACCTCGTCGGCGAGCAGCAGCACCTTGTTTTCATGTGCGAACTTGATGATCTCCTCGATGTTCTCGCGGGTCAGCACCTGGCCGGTGGGATTGCCCGGATTGATTACGACCAGGGCGCGCGGATTGCACGTCTTCTTGGCCTCGTCGAAGGACCGCTGCAGCTCCTTCCTGCCCAGACTCCAGCCGGTCTCCTCCTCCAGGTAGTAGTCCACCTTGGTCATGCCGTACTCGGAAATGGTGGCTGAGTAAAGTGGATACTGAGGAATAGGCACCATCACTCCAGGAGCCTTGCAATCCACCTCGGAGCTGAAATGACAAAGTGGTTTGGATTAATCAAAAATTATGCACTTAAACTTAATTCTACCTCCTTAAAGCTCGATTTCAATTCAAATGTACATATTGTAGTGTTAAAACCATTTAAAAAACATTATTTTTCAAATCACAATTTCATAATATGTTCTTAATATTCTAATTCTATATTCATCGTTCGTATTATGATTGTACTATTAGTTTTTTGTATTCCAAGTTAAATACTCTTAAAAAAAGATACCATACATTTTTAATGAGCCCGTAAACATATTTATCTTGCTACCTTCTTTTATAAGTTTACATGCTAAAAGTGGGGCACTTTAGCCAAAAAACAGAGTTATTAAAGAGATAACAATACAAGATACGTAGCTCCCGAAAAAAGTGTCTTATCTGGTGCGATAAAGACCTGTTTTCCGGAACCTTTTTGGCGTTGGAGCTACACATACTTGACCATGGAGAGAATGCTCTTGATGCCGGGAGAGGCGCCGCCGGTGAGGTAGATGTTCTGCCAATCGCAAGCGATGCCGCCGTCCCGCTTCTCGATGTACTTGGCCACCTGGCGACGGACCACCTCCAATCCGGCGGAGTCCGTGTAGGAGCCCACCGACTGACCCTGGCAGCCGTCCAAAATGGCACAGGCGCGCTTCTTCACGTCCTCGGGATAATCGGGCGAATCGAGCAGTCGGGTCTCGAAGGTAAGCGCCATCAACTAGTAAAATAAAATTAGCCACATTTGAATTATGGTCTATAAATCAATTTAGGGACTCTACAAATCAACTCACCTGCCGCAGGAAGGTCAAAGGCTGCTGTCCCATGGCATGGCAATCTCCAATGTTGGCACGGATCACCTGGTCGAACGGCTTCTTGGCACCCTGCAATCAAATTCAATCGAATCGGAAGGTAAATTACACATTGTTTACTCGGTTGGTCAAATTTAATTATGATGGCGGATCAAATGAGCCTCTAATTTGTGGCTTTCACTATGCAAATTACCCTCAAGTGTAATTTGGGCCCTATAAGTGGATACAAACCATTTGGCGGCATGGAATATTTACAATTAGGCCAGAGTAATCGATTGAACTGCACTTCCAATTAATTTCGTATCACTCATGCACCATCAAGGATTAAACTGAAGTGCTGGGTTATTAGCGATAACTACCAAATGAGCTAAATTAGAATCACCCATCATTTTAAATGCATCCGAAGCTAAGATCAGCAATTCCAATTAGTTACTTATCACAAATGTGTCATCATGGGTTTACCATATACTTTTTTATTAGATTGTGGGTGAAGTTGGTAATAACGATTAAACAAATATAAAATTGCACAACAAATTCATTGCGAATATAAAATAAATATTGCGGAGAACCTTTTTATAAACTTGCTAGTTTTTTCTAAACAAACTTGGTGTTACTTTTTACTAGCTCTATAGGGATCTTTATTAAACATTTTTAAGTCAAGTTTTAGATACTAAGAAAATGAGAGTTCTAAAGGTAAAGAAAAATTTAAAGTTCAGATCAACAAAAAATATTTAACGTTGAGTAAGAATCCAGAGAACACCCAGTAGTATTCATATACCGAATCGGGTTCATAATACCCCTTGTAGAAAAGGGGACACAATAATTTGCTGTGGAAACTGTCAACAGTGTAACACACAATTTGCAGGGCACATGCAAGTTGCACTCATTAAAGAGCCACTCGTCTCGGGTTCCAATTTTACCACGCTCGAATGGGCAATTTGCTACATAATGTACTGGAGGGTGGAGGGACCTGTATATTGTGTATTTTGCGGCTAAATAATGTAAATTGCGGCATGTAAGTGAGCTTCATCGGTGCCGTTGACGTCATTGGGCATTCGGTGTGTGTGACTGACAAAGTCGTTATTGGAAAATTAAGGAATTCACAGCTCAACACGACTGTGAAATTACATAGCTTCTGGGGATACCGAAATCGAAAGCATTCTTCGCAAACTTCTCTCCGTGCAAACGTGTTCACACGGGCATCGCGCCACCTTATCGAATCTAGCTAATTATTTCTTTTTTAATTTCGAAAATTACTGATAAAAGCGTTGCCAAGTCGAGGTAAATGGATTGCACCCACAATCGAGTGTGTTTGTATTTCTCGTGGAAATATCTATAGAAATCGACTGTATCGCAACAGTGGAGGTGCAAATATTAGGCGTGGGAAGAAATTTAAGACTATCATATTGGTCAACCTCATAGGTTATAAATTAAATGTATATCTTATGATTGATTTAGGATCGTAGTTAACTTATTAGCATTATATAGACTACTAATTAGTTGACCACCGCTGTTGGCACTTATAGAATTTCAGATTCTCTCATGTTTTCTTGCTATGTATATGTACCCTTCGAACATTTCGTACTTGAAGTCGTTGTAAACAAACTTTTTGTGCTAAGTGGCAATATAATTGATAACTATATACTCGCACAGGTAGACTCGTATAATCATAGAGGACTTGTATAAAGGCGTTGGCAACCCAGACATTATCGCTGAACGAGCCTAAATAATAATAATAATATGCTATAGCGATTAAGCTAGCGAGTTCTAATGTCGAATGGAAGTGAAAATAAACAGAAAATAAGTATAAGCAGAAGTGAACAATTATACGTTGAAAGAAACAAAGATTAATATATGATTGATAGATGATCCTTATATAAAAAGTAAACAAAAATTACAATAGATTTGCAAAACAACACTACGTATAAATGGAAGAAAGTTATAATAGATTTATAATTTGAAATAAAAACAAAATGCTAGTTGAAATGAAGATTAGAGGTTCTTAAAGAGGTTCTTTAGAGATTCTTAAAAA